CCTGTCCCCACCGCTGGCCCGGGAAGCAGAAAGAGCCAACAGATCTTGGGTTACACACTGGCATCCAGGCGAAGGAAAGCGGAAAATGGGATGTGAGGTAGGTGCCTTTACTGCAGGGCTCACACCATGTCCTGCCTTTTCATTGCTGAAGATGAAAAACCCCCACAAAAGTCTTTCCTTGCAATGATTCGTATAACAGCTCTGTGAAATGGAATAGCTCTATTTTTTTCCTAGGCTCTGTCAGGAATCCTTAATTTTTGGTGTCATGTTAGTTCTGCTATTTGTTAGCTCCCCTCTTCCTTCCTGTAGCCATAGTGACTCCTCACAACATTGCATCACAGTTCCTAATGATATAACCTTTCTCTCCTGGACGCATCCTGCTGGTTACTTTTCCAAGACACCCCCGGCTTTCTCATCTGCTGTTATACTTTGCCTTGCATCTGAGGTGCAAGAGTACTGATGTCAGCATTCTGATATTCTGATATTCCCATTTCACTACAGAGCACCATTTCAAATTTTGCTTCACCTATATTTTACTTGTAGATCTCATTGTTCTTTTCCCTCTTGCTTTCTTTCCTTCCAGCTGTGCCTGTCTTTTCCATTACACATCTGTGCAGCCTTGAAGTTGGCCCACAGTTGCATCCAAGAGCTTAAAGCTGCTCTGTTGGATTATCATTAGCTTTCAAATATCAGCCTTTGCTGGTTTGGTAACTGAGGTGCTGCAGAAGAAAAGTTCAGTGTCAGCTCGATTGAACAGTTTGTTTTTCTGCAGGAAGTCTCAAACTCTTTCTTGTACTTTATGATCTCTTCATGAAATTATCTCTGAAAAGTTCTGGAGTCAAAACCAATGGATTTTTTCAGGTGAAATTACATGAATTTCTGTGAAATATGGAACTGAATCACAATGGAAACAGGGGCAAATACAAAACAGCAGAAACAGTGAAAAACAAATGTCCATACCATACAGACCTGTAGAGGTTAATCAAGTTCCTAAAAATATGTTGCTTCTTTAAATGTGTTTTGCTTTTTAGAAGTGTTCTCAAATGGTGTACATGTTGTAAATTGTCTGTGTGCAATGGCCAATATGCCTACTCAGTTCGATGTTGCTTGTGGAAAAAGCAGTGCAAAGTTTCAATTGGGGGTATCCACACCTGGTCCCAGTGTAGAGGACCAGTGCGTCCTGAAGGTTTCTAGGTCTCTTTAAAGCAGCAGCACCAGAAGAGCTGGAAGAAGCTGTTCGATTGGCCCAGTCAAGCCAGTAACCAGCTGACTTAGATCATTAAGAGCCGAGGTGGACTGGAAGCCCACAGAAACACTGACCCTCCAAGCCCAGTATTGGACAGCTCTAAAAATATAACATTACCACTTAATAATGTTCTGTATTTTAAGAGTTTTACTGATGTACTAAATGGCAAACGACCTCTTTCTTTCAAAATGTCATCCCCTGGATGCTTTTGAGCAGGTAATGTGTTCTTGGAGCAGTTTATCTATTTTTTAAATTATGTCAACTTGTTGGACAATCGGCTTTCTGGACAATTGTCACCTGATCCCTGTTTACATCACAACAGGAATGTTGGAAATGAGCAATTTGGATTTTACAGGGTCATGCTTCTTTCTGGGCTTTGAGAGTTAAACCTCGGACAGAAGTACTGAGGTTCAACTTCTCGTTAATTAAATGGTCTGTAAAGACCTCATGCGTGAGATCACATTCTTGTTTTAAAAAATAAAATTGAAATACTGTAAAAACACAGAAATGCTGTTACTTACAAGAGGAGCTTGTTAAGTGCTACATTTGTTTTTCATCACTAAAAAAGTGGGAAGCTCTTGGTCACCATGGAAACCATTTGCCTCAGAAAAATAAAATGAAGAGGCCGTTATTTTTAAGAGGGGTAAGCTCAAATATACCTGCATACAAAGGAAATTAACTTAAGAACATGAAAATGCACGCATAAAGAATAAAAAAAAAAAGCTTGCCAATTCATTATATGAACAATATAAATTGAAAGGAAAAACATTAAAATTATTTTAAGGCAAAAATCCTCATGCTTTCGGACTAAGTAATGATGAATAATATAAAATTATCTGTATATTCATGTCAATTTCCTGTTGAACTCAAAAATAGCCTAAAAATAAATAGATTTCTGTAGAGGAAGAGGAAGACAAGCATAGCAGCAGGAGATACATTTTTGCAATATTCAAGCACTCCTGTACATGTATTAATACTATGGTTTCTAAAGATAACAGGTTACTGCTACAGCTACTACTGCTACTATTTCACCTGCTATTACTGTCTATTCCCTTTTTGTAATGAAAATAATGATGATAAACTACTTGAAAAGAAGATTCAGAGGAATATCCATTAACTCACTGCAATAAATCCCATTAACAAAGGAAGAGAAAATTAGGGATAAGCACATTCTTGGAAAACGGCATGTTTTCAAACCTGCTATAGTTAAACCTGACTGAAAATACAATAAGATACCTGAATGAAGAATCCAGTTGCCAGGGCTGTGTAAGAGCAAGCCGCTGGGCCAGTATCGAAATCTGTATTTCAACAATTTGCTCTTAACGTTTCAAAAAGTAAATCAACTTGCAGTTATAATTAAAGTCATAAACAAGCCATTTGCTTGAAGAAAGTGTAGAAAGGCAAACTGATGGGATAGACTAAATCCGTAATAAAATATGATATGTTTTTAATCTTGGTCATAGGTTACTAAGTAAATTACATACTGTAAAACATGCAGACAGGGCTACAGGTGGTACAGGGATATCTGCAGATATTACACGCCATTTAATTCCTTGGACTTTGACATATCAATGATGATGACGTTTATTTTAGTCTTCTCAAGATACATTGTAATGCATTTGCCCTATGGTAAAAAAAGAGAATGGCAAGAACTTCTGCTTTCCCTTTGTTTGTTTTTAACACCCATACAAACACTAAAAAATGCAAACTCAGGTCTGCATTGGCAACTTTACCAGAAGAGCTGGAAGAAGCTGTTCGATTGTCTCAATGACAGTTGAGATCCAGAATGCAATTTTCAAAATGCTGTAATAAAATGGGTTCAATTTGTTAATTGTGGCTAATACCAAAGCAAATGATTATGCTGTGTATTCATTTTCTCATATTGCTAAACACAATAAGTATTAATGTTAACATCTAACCTCATCAAACTGCATTGACATTGTAGAAATTCTAGGAAAATGCCTTGCAATAAGATTCATTTCATAAAACAAATATTTGTTCAAGTATTGATAAGTCTTTGTGTTAAATATACAAACTATGACTTCTCTCCTTATTATGTTTACACCTTAAGAGCAATAATTTGACAGTATAACTGCAGTGAATACACACATCCCCTATCACATACACATATGTTTTGGACAGAAATTAATAAAATGCCTATGGGATCCCTCCATAGAAAAAAGACTCCTGGCCTCTATGCTCTGCCCAAAGCTTGTTGTTAACTATAAGTTATATGCACGATATTAACCCCAGCCTTCTGCATGACCAAGTAGATGAAGTCCCGTATGAGGCTGCATTGTATTACTGTATTATTAGATATGGTCATACTTGTATCTAGTCCATTTTGTTTTATGTTTTGTCACACCACTGTCATCTGTTAAGACTGATCATTTTAAAACATAGTTCTGTAATCTATACTCTAGAAAATAAAACCTTGAACTGATAGAGCCTCATGTTTTGCAGCTCAGATATAGATGTCATTTGTTTTTTGTATTTTGAAAAACTCACATTTCATACTAAGAAGGAAAGGTATTGATGCGGCTTATTACAGAAATGACTGTATCATTTTTTTGAGAGTTGTGATTAACCCACTGTTTTCTCCTGCTCCCTCCATAAAAGCATAGTTTCATTTTACATAGAAAATTATAAGAATTTGAGAATCTGGTGGGAAGATTTGGCAACATTTTTATTGTTAATCTCCTAACCACCACAGAACGGTTTGATTTCCATACCTCGACTGGCATTCCTGTGCAGGGTGATACATCTGTCCATTAAAACACGGCACAATTCAGACATTCAACAGTCTAGGCAAAAAACAACTTGTCAGGGAGCTTGTCAGTTTGTTAGGAGATTGAGTCACTAAAGATCTGCAGAGAAAAATAACCCACTGATTAGATTCATTAATTAATCCCGAATGGTGTGGCTTGATCTATCTTTTCCCAAAATTCTCAGCCTAGGTGGATTGCAATGGCAAACAGCAGCTGGCAAGAAAAAACATACTTTGAGGAAACTAGAACCAACTGCAGAAAGTGCTGCAGGTGTTTTCACTTTGTATTGTGAAACTACATGCATTAAAATTCACCTGTACACAGACATTCTAATCTTTATGTTATGTTTTTCTGGTCCACACAGTGTGTTGTCATAGGCAAATGCAAGGCATTACATTACAATGGTTTAATGGAAGAACTACCGTATATAACCATTGGCTTATACATGGTTTGAATTGTGAAAAACAAATACACTATATCTTGTATATGAAATGTCCAGGTTCATGTATCTTTGATGTGCATGAAATTATTTATGCCTTTTCCATAAGGACATCAGGGTAATAGTTTTTTCAAAAAGCAGCAATATTTATGCTGAGCTAACAGTAAAGCACAATTACTTTTATCCCATGAGTAGGAATAAAAAGGAGAAAAGATTAAAAAAAACTTCTGTATCATAATGTAGTTCACTTTCAGATTAATCATTAACTTTGCTTTGTTGAGCACATCCGTTTTTATGTATTATTAGGATTTTCTGTAGCATGAAACATCACACAAAACACTTTCTCCACATTTCTTGTAATATTTCAGAAATTAACTGATCTTGTGCACACTAGTGGAATAAAAGTTGGAAGAGAGTAGTAAGAAATATTTACAGGACAGTAAACGTTTCATGACTGAAAAAAAAAAACAAATACTACACTATACTAACATGACTTTCTCTGCGTCTGTCAATCAACGCGCTCAGTTCCGCTTCGGGTTGGTGAACTTCCGTAGCGCCAAACTTAAGCAATTTTGTTTTAATCATTTGTAAATATGGAAGTGACACCGTACGGGAGCACATGTAATTTAAAATGATACATATTGCATTAATTAACTTTGATAGAGCTCATTACAGCAGTACAGGGCGGGTCTTTCTAGAGTTTAGAAAGTCTAGAGTCTAGGATAGTAAACGTAGCTGACTGGAGGTGTTTGTGCTTTGGGCACACAGGAAAGTCTGCCTTCATCTGCAGCCGAGACCAGTGTTTTTCTAGCAGATAATATATACGTGCTGACATGATGGCCCAGGAGAAGCACGCAAAACTGAAACTGAAGAGAAAGAAATGCCCTCCACAGGAGTCGAAAGCGGCACATTCCGCTAGCAACCCGGACTTTGAAGGCTCGCCGAAAAGTTGCAACGAAGAACTGAAAACATCCCGTCCAGACCGCGCACCGGCACCGTAAGTACTCCCCTTGCAAACCTCTGAAGCCGGGTGGGGCAATACTGGAATAATAATAATAATAATAATGTTATTATAATAACAATTCCAACATCCTTGTGTGGTTGGCTACATGATAACTAAACAATAGGAGTGAAACAACATTGTAACATTGTCAAAAGAAAGTACTTCTACAAACATTGGCCAGCCTAAAAACATCGGACTGCCTTTGAACCTACCTAATGTGTTCCCTCGTGAAACCCGACTTTATTTGAAAGGCACAGATATGCATACTGTATGAAGATCATTTTGAACTGCATGGTATATTCTTGGTACTGTAACTGCCCTGTCGTTGTTTGATTTGGAAGCTTCTTTGAACATGAGTGAACACATTTCCAAGCGCTGACTCTTCCGTATGAGTGTGTACACCAAAATGTCCTTGTTTCTGAGCGTTTGAAATGAACTGCTCAGCAAAATTTAAAATACAGTAAATGCAAGTCTTGCATCTTCGCTAAGTTACTGCTGACGATACGTGGGGATGTCGAAATGTTGGTATCGCCATGCATATTTATCATTTATGTGTGTAAATTTGAACGTTTCCTGGGATTTTTAAAAATGCTTACTTTTTTTCCCCTCACAAAAAGACGGGGGGATTGCGAGAAGAAACTTTAATAAATTTAATAAAGTTGTGGATCCCGAGGAAGAGGGCAGCAGTAATTCAGAATTTACTGAAGTTTACTTAGTTGGAGCTGCACGGTTGGCGCAGTGGTTAAGCATTGCTGCCTCGCAGCGCTGGTGCCCTGGGTTCAGTTCCAGACCTGTCCTGCTGGAATTGTCCGAAGTCAACTTTGTTCCTAACAAAATACACCTTATTTCACAATAAACATCTTACAATGAGTAAACACTCTAACAAGTCATGCAAATCCTACTATATTAAGTTCTTAAAGGGGGGGTTGTCCTTTATTAACCAGAGCAGGTGGATGCTAGGGCTGGATTTGCACAAGAAAAGAGTTCCTCCAAGCCCTACCACTTGCTGTTGTCCAAGCCTGTTCCCTGTCCCGGCTCTGAAACTGCGATTGTCCCACCGTCCAAAGTTATATACTAGTCAATTGGCTGCTGGTAATTTGCCCCTGCTGCGAGTGTGTGCACATTTGTGTGTGTGTGTGTCTCGCGATGGACTGGTATCCCATCCAGGGTGTACCCCAGCTTGCTGAGATATGCTGTAGCCCCCCTGTGCCATTGAATTGGCTATCTACTTAATCAAAGAAGATTGATTAACAGAGGTCAATGTAATGTATATAAAGTTATCTGACTCAACTCAGTTAATAGTAAAAGCACCCAGTTAAAAGTTTATCTTGCACTCAGGCTTCATTAAGTTTACTGATATAAAAAAGGGCCGAAAAGTTGCAGACCAATTTTGAAAGTGTCCACTCGCTTTACCGATTGCAGATTTTACTAAGCTTTCAGCAGGTGAAAGTCAGAGATAAGCTGAAGCTGGTACTTAAATAAATAATAATTTGGGTGGGTTTTTTTTGGGGTGGTGGTGGGGGGGTGTTAGTGGTTTGAGAATAAACAACATAGCAGGGGCCCCATGACAATAAAAATGACTTCACAGCAGGCTGATAAAAATGATGGCAAAATAATTTTGGCATATGTCCCTTAGCAGTTTTTGTAAGTTATTGTTTAAGGAGATAAAACACATTGTAAAACAAACTGCAGGATACACAGGAGGTGGGTGGGTGATCTTTCTGCTTGATCACGAATACTGCTTGAGAGAAGCTTTTGCACTGAGCAAGCAATTAGGCCCTACAGAGTCTTAAAGGCCAAAGATTTGCTTTATTATATACACAGTACATATCCTGCCTGCATGCAAAACATTTTTGCACAGTGTTCCAGAGCACAGATATAATACCTCCCACAATCTGATTTCGAACAGGCTCATTTGGATTGGCTTGCCACACAACATATGATGATTTTTTAAAAGATTTGATATTAAAAAAGACACCTATTAATTGGTGTCAAAAAAGCAATCCTCAAATGCATAGAATATAACCAGGTAAATGAGTCACTTTGGAATGTTTGTCCCTGGGGGGGAAAAAACAAAATAATTTCATCCAAAAACTTAAGGGACTAGAAAAAGCACAGAAGACTATTTCACATTGCAGCACATAATGTGATCTTTTTCCTCAATGAATTTGTGGTGGGTTTGATTGCAGCTCATGTATCTGTTAATTAACATTTTCGTTTCTGCCCAATTCACTGGCAGAATGGACATGTGGTGGTGGAACAAACCCGACCTCAGTGTGACTGAGAGTTTGTGGGCGGTCCTGTTGAAGTCTGCCTTCCCAGACCGCAGCCAGGGAGACTGGATACATGTGCCCGACCTCCCCTCGCTTGTGTCACAGGTGCGTACCCATGCCTGAAGCTGATACGGTAACCACTTTGCTTTTTTTCAGTACCATAAGAAACAAAGAGGGATATGATGGTTTGGGAAGCTGTGCAACAGGTGGTGCCAGGGGCAACTCTGCTTCCAACAGGCTGCCAGTCTGGTTTAACATGCAAGTGGCATTTCTAGGGCATGTATACCAGATGAGCCAATCAGTTTGACAGGTGGCTGATGCAAACTTATATTTGTTAAATTATTTATTTTAGGGCACGTCAAGAGAAAACCTGTTCAGACACAATCTGATGTAACCCTCTTGTAGCAGGCAGCGTGCAGGCTATTAAGGAACAGAGTGATGAAATCTTGGCCATTGGAACTGCAATCTTAAAAGTTTTTTTTCCCTTGAAATGCCAGTTCTTTTTGTTTCTTATTGCTGTAACAGAAGACTTTTGCTTTCTATGATATTTTATGTGAAACTCATCTGTGATCACTTTCAGGAAGGGTCCTGCGTATATTCTTTTGAAAAGGATAGGAAACTGAAGCCTTTCTCAGTTTTGACTCATTTGAAAGTTGCTGTAAGTCCATGTAGTGACACACACTTCACATGGTGCAGTATGTGTTTAATATTAAGTTTGATGGCTGACATGGGCTTCCATCTTAGAAATGTACTGTAGTCCTACAGTTTAATATAACCTCCTTGTTAAAATAGTCTGAGTTGAGATGGAAATGGTTTTGAGTTGATTTTAAGGATACATAATCAGAATTAGCTGGAATGTATGAAGGTGTGATTGTTCTTTATGACAAGAGGATGGAGTCCAGTACATTCCATGCTTAAATAAAAAAGTCATCATAATTTTCAATGTGATTTTAGGAATTAAAGTCTCTGCATGTTGTGGAACACTACAGGGCATTAAGAATAACAAATACAGGTGCTGTCACATCCCTGGATACAAATAAACTTCAATGTACTGTAAACAAGGTCTTCCTGTAAATCCAAGTAATACTCTTTTTCAATTCCAAGACTGACTGTAAATACAGCAGGAAATGTCAGCTATTACATTTCTTCTAGTACTTACAGTCAGTAGTAGAAAAATGGCTTCAGTATAAATTCTCCTCTATAAATACAGTATTGTAAAAAAAAAACTGGAAGCAAAAAAAATGATAAAACCCTTTGGTAGAGTCTCCCCATTGTCTGTCTTGTTTTGAAGCCGAGATTTTCAGAACAAGGGCATCCTGGATTGAAGACCTGTGCTAGCTGTGGTGAAGAACAGACCCGTTTTCCATCGATTTCCAAAGCAGCATCCCTTAATTCACTGAATTCAGACGTGGATTTCGATTCTGAGCCCTATCCTGGGACTCGGGACCAAATCCTGAGGGAGAAAGAGAAGCTTGTGCACTGTGACAGACAGCCTCCCAGTGCGACTCAAGCTGAACACGCTGAAAAACCACCTTCAGCTGTGGACAAAGTTGCAGGGGACACCAGACTGAGACATAACGAGGTGCCTGAAGCCGAACGCGACAGTGAAACGAGGCAGCAGCAACGCCTACGCGAGGCCTTGCCGTCGTCGGGGGCGACGGGAGACGGAACGCGGAGCGCGCTAACTGACGGGGCCGGCGCGGCGGTGGCTAGGCCTCGCTGCCGACGTGAGGAGACCTCCACCGCGAGGCCCCGCTCGTTAGAGAGAGCCCAGCGCGGGAACGAGGAAGAGGACGCGATCAGAGGGAAGCTACCTGCTCACGGGGGGGGAGACTCTGACAGCTGCATCGCCACCGAAGAGACGCGTTCGGCGAAACCCCCTCCGGAGGAGGAGCGTCGCCAGGCAGGTTGGCAGAAGGAGCATACGGCTGCTAATAACAGGAAAGCTGATGGGAATTCAGATGGAGGTGCAGCTATAGAGAGCTGCCCCATGTGTCGCACACAGTTTCCTGCTGGGTAAGGCTTTCGTTTCTCGTCCTCTTGAATTCTCCATTCTGCTTTCTAGGGCAGCCCTTCACTGAGGGCTTCACACACACAGAAACGTGTGCACAAGATGTTTAGCTGTAGCTAAACCATTAGCCCTAGAAACAACCACTTAGAGTAAAAGCTCGGTACATTAGAATAGCAGAATAAACGCATACATGTGAGTGGTACGTTTTTACAGAATGGCCTTTGTTTTCACACAGCTATACCCTAATTATCATACTTCTGTAGAGAAATCTGAATAGTTTTGTCCTTTTAATCATTACAAATTATTTTTAAAACGACCTATTGTTTCGCCTGGGGGGGGCACAGTAACATAAATTTGAATAGTCAATGGATGACAACCAAAAGTAGAGAAAACCTGTTTCGTCTAGTTCAATATTTTTCAAGGACATTTTTATGAAACATGTTTCTGCATTACTGCCACCTGCTTTGGATTGTCAGTGCAGGCGAGAAGCACAGATGTGTGGTTTACCTGAGTAATGCTTCTTTTGCCTCTGATTTCTGCAATGCAGAAATCCTCTGTGGATCTCAACCTGTTGGTACTATGTGAGGAAATCCCATAAGTCATTAAAATAAACCCTAAACCCCCTCTTACAATAACCAATCCCCTTTGAGGAACTCATTGTCTGACACTCCTGAGTCTCAGTGGCACAGATTCCTGAATTATCAAGCTTCCTGCTCTATAACCTGGGTGCAGAATGGCTGTGTAATTTAAATTGGAATGATCACCTTGACCTGTGGAGAACAAAAGGTATAGTCAGTGGGCGGCACAGTGGTAAGCAGTGCTGCCTCATGGCTCCAGGGCCCTGGGTTGGATTCCTGACCTGGGTGGCTATTTGAATGGAGTTTGTAAGTTCCCCCCGAGTGCTCCAGTGTCACACGCCAAATCAAAGGCATACTGGTAGGTCAGTTAGCTCCTGGGAAAACTGGCCCTGATGTGAGTGTGTTTGTCATTGTGTCTTGACCTGTGCTGGACTGGCGTCCCACCCAGGGTGTATCCTGCCTTGTGCTAGTCGCTTGCCGGGACAGGCTCTAGCTCCCCCGCGACCTGTATTGGATAAAGTGGTCAGTAAATGGACTGGATGCATAGTCAATGAAAACAGGGCAATCTTGTGTTTTAATGAGGCATAACTGGATCATAGACTAGTTGGCCAATAAAGAGCAGGAAAGCCACAGATCACTATGGAAACCTCGGCCACCTATTATGAGTAAATCTGTATTATGTAAACATTTTTAAAAATATCATTTCAAATCATCAAGACAAAAGCAGTTTCCCTCCAAAGCATGAAAAGATGGATGTTTTGTTTTAGTACATCCATCTGATCACGAACCTTTGGGAAGCTGCTGACCAATTGTTTTGCTAAAAAACAAAAGCACAATGTTGAGTGTCTAGGACCATTCGACCCTTTCCTAGCCCTTGGCAACCAAACAAGAAGCTGATAGTGGCTCCTGCAATGTCTTGGGTTCTAAAATTTGGATCCCACTGCATTTTTCTACTCCTAAAAAACAGTCAAAGTAGTGCAGCCAAGTCTATTTGTAGATAGCATTGCCTTAAACAACCGTGTCTTTGTAATTTGGAGCTATGTTCATGAATCTGAACCACAAGGGAGACAAAAGGTTGAAACTCACAATTGCAGGAGAATGCAAAAGGCATCTGCTTTAGGAGAAATTCAAAGTGCTGCCAATGCACTGTTTTGGGGAATCTACATTTGCTGAAATGGTCAGAACGGAGCATTAAGGCTACCAGGGTAGCAGTACATTGAAAGTGGCAGATTTCTGTACCGGAGGCAGAAACAATGACCTCATTCTTGCACTTCGGGGAAAGAGAAGAAAATCTCCTAGCGCATGCAACATAGCAAAACCTCTCGGAGCATTCAAGGAAAGTCTCTTGCACTCCTTTGAAAGAAAACAAATCCAGGGCTTTTTGACCTTGTCAGATATGTATTGCTTCAGGTCTTGCACTGAAACAGCTGCTTGGTTAAGAAACTTGCTCATGACAAGGATCGTAAGTGACGTGTTGTTTTGACTTTTATTAAATATCAAGGCAGTGAGGCTTGATTGCTGTGCTGGGGTTTGATCGATCAGCAGAAGGTTGGCAAGGCTGGAAGGCAATAATGGTAAAGGCACAGGAAAACCTAACAAAACAGGCATACAGCAAAGCTGGGCCAACAATGGTCTTGCCACTTTTGCAAGGTGTGCACTTTATTTCTGTTAAAGGTTCAAGTCTATCAGGCAGGTTAAAAAAAATAGACTTTTTTCTGCCTGCAAGAATTACTGTAAAGGGCTGAAGCTCTGCAAGTAGTGTCAACAACACCCTGCTGATTTCAGCATTCCTGTTTGTATACATCTGATTTGTCCACATTTTTATGTTGTGTGTCTGTGATGCATTAAGGGTTCAGAGAGAAAAAAATGCATATTGTGGGCTGTATTGGCCTTGGTAAAACTGTTTGAAGCGCAGTTCCATTTTTCACTTTTCCATGTATATTTAAGATCTCGCAAACCTGACCTTGCAGTTGGTTTAACATAGCTGAATATGCCCTTGATTTTGAGCCTGCGTGGAATTCAGCTGCAATGCCAACAAACATACAGATGCTTACAGGATTTAGGTTTGTTCTTTGAAATGTATAATGTCATAAATCACATATATTGTTTTAAATGCCACACTGTCCAGCATGGTTTATTCAGTTTTATTAAAAAAGACATTTTTCTTAATGCAATATGTTCACAATACTAAAATAAAACCTTCACACATATAAAGGCCAATTGCACACCATTCTTTTACTGTGTCCAGATCCCTACACCCACACAGAGACATAGTATAAAAATAGGACAGCATCTGAATGTTAGAGCACAGCAAGAACTGTGACTGGCTGTCCTCGGATTAAATTCACTTGTCCTGACCAGTAAGTCTTCCCCTAGGATAGATGACAGCACAGCAAATGCAAATTATCATGATGAGTTCTGGCTGCTGCAAGGGAGATTATACCAGATTTACCTTTAAAATGATCTCTGAAACACCCTTGAGTCCAAATCTCTAAAGCTCTATTGATTTTTGCAATGCCTGCTTTCTCCTAGCTTCTTAAAGACATTAGCACATTTACACATACAATTCTCCATGCTGGCTCAGACAACTTTTGCTGGCCAGAACATTATGACAGTCCATTTTAGTTGTCTTCCTTGATATTTTAGGTCAGTTCTAAAAAGTGTACTTTGATATTTCACACATTTGCAAAGCTTTCAAGTATGGTATACATGGAGTCTCTGGCTTTTAGCAGGACTTAAAAAACTGGTGCTATTAGTGAAAGATCTGAAGTATTTTTGTTTTATTCCTACATGAGCATTTATAATTCATATGTATAGACTTAAATGCTTTGTGGATGTTGTTATTTTAAACTATGGGCCATGTTTTTTGTAGTAATGTCTATTGTAAAATAATGACAAAAGTATTGGGTCAATACAGCCACTCTGAGTTCTAGTCTATTCTAGGGGTGTTCTGATTTCAGTGTTTTCTTCAGCATGTAACTGGCATGCTCAATTGGATTTAAATCTGCAGATGGCTCACTAAGGATGGCAGCAGTAGAACAAATTTTGTAGTTTACAGAAGCATTTTTGTGCTTAAGTGGAAGACAATGTGTTACCTACTGGGCTGTACTTTGCCATGCAGCATGACAATACCACAAGATGTACAACCAAGGAATTCAACAGGTGAAAAAAATCTTAGACTAGACAAGTCAATCTTCAAATTTAACTGCAGGACCTCACAATCATTGACTTGAATACAGAATATATTTTAATACAATTCAATGTGCGCATGGAATTACCCAACCCAAACCTACATTGTGCTTATTATCATTCATCTAAATCTCCTGATCAGAAATACAAATTGCTTGACTCAGTACTTGTGTAGGGCAATGTATATCTTCCTGAAATATTTATATATGGACCGCAGTAAAAGTGATTTACACAGAAATTGAAGTTGTCTCGTAGACATCCAGTCAAAGCAGAAACATAGGTTTAGGCGAGAGAGAAGTTACACAAACCTGTTTTGTGTGGCTCTTCACAGTATCTCCAGGGTATTGATCTAGATGATTTCCCTCACGCCTCTGCTGAGCTTAAAAGGAAATAAACCCTTACACAAACCAGTAGAAAGGCATGTTTATACAAGGTATTTATGTGCTTTTCGAGTCTGTTGGGTGTTTTGCACAGTAAGCAGTATTAGCTGGTACTATACCTTGCAATAGAGATCTCTTTTCATTGCTTCAAGCTTTACATCAGAAAACTCCCGCAACAGAGCAAAAATTAATTTGGATTCACGTCCATTAGATGAGTCATTGTGCTTTACAGCGAAATACGAAACCACACTGGTTAGTGAACTTATCATATATTGGTACTTGGCTCGGCTTGAGAAATTTTACTTCTTCTATAGTTTAATCACATTGTTGCCTTTCCATTTGGCAACCCGTTCTGTACAGCTTACATGCAAATTTCTCCTTTTGTCTTCCGAAGTGGTTGTTTGGTGACTAGCCCATGACATTGTCCATAATATTCGCTTTAAATTTGTGTTTTTGCTCGTTGTGATTAGTATGTGATGAGAAGGGCTTGTAGCTTTCTATTATTTTGCAGGCAGGAACCATTTGATCTGATAGAAATCCTCTTTATGTTGATAAGTTTGCAGTTGCAGGCATCGGCACTAGAAATTTTAGAGATTTAGATAATCCATTTCTCTTCAAATTTGAAAGGAGATTCAAGCATGTAAGGCAACCTATTGTAAGGTTCTTTTCCTTGTAGAACAAGCAGAGTAAAACCTAATAGAAATGCTGTATTTGTCAGCACTCTACTTTAGGAAAGACCATAAACTGATTCAGTAAAATAGGCTTTAGAACATGGTCTAATCTGGTAAACAAAAGCAACCTGTTTTTATCATCTCTGGTTTCTGTGGTTACGGCATGTGCATTCTTGTAATGGCATATTGATATTTTTTGTTTCTTTGCTTGCCGATTTGTGCATTTTTTTACAATGGTTCTTTGCATAAAACCTTAGCTGTGACTTATCAAAGGGGTTTTCTAAACACATGTATGGTTTACCCGATTGGTTTCAAAACTCTAATGACATTCATCGTGGTTGTTGTTGGGGCCAACAACATAGCTGTATATAGCTACAGTCTTTCTAATTGGAATAAACATGGAAAAAAATGAAAAAATCTGCAATAAAAATCAAGTTAATTCAACTTCACAGAGAAGCTGCTGACTGGAAGGCTTGTATGCTTGTACAGACAATGAAAACAATTGGAACAGCTGGCCTAGGACCAATTTAATGTGAACAGTTTCAGTGGCTTAGGAAAGCTATTAATGCAATATAGTGAAATGTGCATCCTTTTTATTAGAAGACTGATAGCTTAATGAATGAAGTGGTCCAGTTTGAATGATCAAAACGCCTATTTCTTTACAGGGGAAAAAAAAAGTCTTGAAAGATGATACAGAATCGGTCAAAAAGTCATACAATTAGGAGGAAAACAAGACGTGGTGCTGCTGGATATGGCTGTGACCCTTCCCAGACAAGGCCGACATTGTAAAGCCTGGAGCTCTGGCGCTCTGTGCTGCGCAGTGCTGCTTCCAGCGAGCGCTGTGTATTTTGGCCCAGGCACACAACGTTGCTGTACACGTTCGAGATTTAACAGATGTGGACAATGAGCGCCCTTGTCTGCGAGAGGGAAAGGCAGAGTGAGCAAGCGACAGGGAAAAAAAACATTGCCGTCTATACATGTGAGGGCTTATTCTGTAAAATCATTCAGCAGGCCGGGTGCAGGGGTTCTAGGAAAGTATATTATTAAATATCTGCTCTAGTTTAATTTTTCCCTGTCGCCTTCCTTGTGTGGGCCTCCTGCCCGCATTTTGCCCCAAGGCTGAAGGAGTGGGTGAAATCTCAGCAGGCCTCTAAAAAGCTATTAGTAAACTTGTTTTAAAAACTGCATGATCCTACATACGTACAGGATGCAACAATACTCTTCAATAATGTGCCGTCAGTCAGCTAAAGCCCTCTGTACAGTTTGAGGTTACGCTGATGGGGGAATTGTAAGATTTCAAACAAAAGCTTAATTTCCAAGTCAAACAAAGCCTGCCAATGCAGTTTTATTCGCTCCTGCTGTAATTCCTGGTTCGGCTCATAGTTGCAGAACGGTTTTAACAATCGCGAGCCTTTGGTCGGGCATCACAATCAATACGTTTAAGATTCATCCTGTGAAACGTTTCAACCTTTTGGCCATAAAGTCAGGAATTCAAGGGCAGATGGCAAACGGTTTCTTGATGCACTACATGAAAGGCCTTTCTATAACGACTGATTTTAATGTCTGTACATTTAAGGATTCCAGAGTAAAGTCGCATTTGAACAAGATTTTTGCTTTTCGTTCCCCAGATTCACCCAACTGGACTGCGACAGTCACCTCGCCAAGTGCTTGTCGGAGATGAACGAGGACATTGTCTGGTAGCCACTCCACGAAGAGGGAGGAACACAACCCACTTCCGCTCCTCTTTAATCACTGAGCCCCTCGGGGGCTGCTCTCTGTTCCTCATCTGTACACGCGTTCAGTTCACGATCAGAGGACTCCTTTCTTTTAAACGGCATTTTCTGCTTTGTATGCACGAAGCATCCCCACCCTCGAGGCATCGCATCTTGATGAAACGAAACAAGTGCAAAGGAAGAAGTAGCACAGAAGACGCTGTAATTAAACATTTACAAGGGGGTCAATCTGCCGGTGCAGAATCTTGTCAAGTGGGTTTTATTTCCAAAGAGGTTCATTGGCTGTCGGAGGTTTATTGAATAAATGCATTGATTCTAAAACAACGGTAGGCATCTGAAATAAGCAAAATATTTTTTTTTGTTCTTTTAAAGTAATATGGGATTGGAGAAATGCAGCATTCCGTCCCCGATGACATGAATGACTTTATTGAAAACTCCCAACCGGTGACAAAGAGGTTTGTTTTCTCTTAACCCTTCGATTTAAGCTTCTGGCACTTGCTTCATGAAGAATATCCCAGGCATCATTTACGGAGTGAGAGCATCGGTAGCTTTCAAAATAAAAATACAAAAAAAGGCTGTTTTAGAGTCTGGTAAAACTGCCTAAAAAGCTGCAACATTTTTTTCAGTTTAGTGATAGACAAATGGATGTTCTCAAGCCCATTTGACATGGGCCATGTGGTCTTTATTAAACTCAAAATGAAACTTTAATATCCAAGGGGATTGGGATCTGAATAAAGCAAGGCCAAGTAAAACTGTTTTTGGCTATCTGGCTTATAAGTGGAAATTAGTTATTTAGAGGTACTTTCTTGTTTGTGGCTGTGCAGTAGACCAGTATTTCTGTCAAACAAAGGCTAAAGGGCCTTTAACAGAATGTGTTGTGATCATTATCGAAAGACAGCACTACCTTAGTTTGTTTTTCCTGTTAAAGACTTTAATTTTCCGATGTGCAAGAATATAGAGGATCTTATGTTATGTATTAGTTTCACCATTTCTCTGCACAGTTTAAATGTGCTTAACTCTGAGAAGAGGCAAGAAAGGTACAACTCACACCCATAAATCAACCAACAGAATATACAAAGTAACTACAATGAACATATTTACTGGTTTACACGTATCTAGAATCATTAATACTAATCCTGTTTGACCACACTGTGCCATACCAGACTTCTTCTCAATCCTGTTGAAGATTTGTTTTCCTTAAACATTTAATGATCTGTTTTTCATTTATAAAACAAATGCTTCAAATATAAAAATTTCCCCTAAGCACATTGATAGAACATGATTTGCTTTGGACTCTTAACACAATTAGCAAAATGCAGAGAAAATAGCTTGACATATTTGGCAAACATTATTAACTTATAATTCAATGCCTTTTAGGAATTTGTATACACCTTACCCGCAACTTAGAGACAGTATCTCTGTTATGTCCAATATTTCCACAGCAACCAGACTATGGCTACTATTCTGTTGGATTGCTTGCATGTGCGCAGACTAGTTGATTTAAGTGAAACCTAAAGTGTTAACATTTAAATTCAATTATTTACAGTAATGCTCCTGCTAGAGTGAATTCAAGGCTTTATACACTGGTAAAACTCTAGGGTATATTTTAATCATACTGTTTTTTGTTTCTGTTGGATTGTATTAGTGAAGGAGCTGCATACTGTATATACACATGTATGTATATACTACATCTTACAATGCATATGAATATACTGAAATATTCTGCCTCATGAAACTTTTACCAATATGTGTTAAATTAATACAACATGGCATTTTAACTACATCTAGGGAGAGATCTTTAATAACACACTAACTGTATATGCTCAGGTGGATTATTTTGATTTTGTACTGAGCCTCTTGTCATCATTAAAATGTAAACTAGTACACAATACATTTGTGTATATATACATTATAATTAAAAGCCCAACCAAATATCCTCAGTATTGACTCCTGTAGAAAACTGCTTAAAGGCTTACAAAAGAGGGAATGCCCTAAAAAGTGTCTATGGGATTTTTTTTAAAAAGAACCTCTCCACAGACCTTTTGAATATTAATTTAATCAAAGTGATTTAGGCACTCTCCTCTCTGCTATGCACTCTGCTATGATATCTAGGTTTTTAGTCTGCTATAACTAATCGATGCAACACTAGCAGATTGGCTGTCTAGGACTGGGAAAGTGTATTTAATCCTGTTACACAAGTTATCATATGAATGCAGGCCAGTCTTAATCAAGAAATGTCTACCTGTGCAGTTTCTTTCCTTTATCTCTTATTGTGAATGAAAATTGGAACAAGCCCAGAAAATCTACAAACTAATTTACAGTTGATATGCGGGTCCTTCTCTTTTTAATATTTTTCCCCCGTGGAAAGATGAGAAAACATACTATTGGCGATGGGTATTATTATGTGTATCAATGGCATTATATCTCAGTAGAACGCACTTGTGCCTCGGGTTGGAACTCCACTGATTCGGAACTTGTCAAGTGTAAATCGCCTCCCTTTGTCCCTTAGGACCATCAGCAGCATTCAGCTCAGCCCCGTAGCACTGCGCCCAAGTCCCTGAGAGCTTTTATCGAGGGAATGTGTGTGTACGTGTCTGCCGTTGTGGAGAGGAGAGAAGATAATATTCAAGATAAAAGTGTTTTAATGTGTTGCGGAACTATGCGGTAGGATTAGAAAGCCCCTGAAATAAATGCATAAGGGATACTGTCTCTTCAGTGTGAGTTCAGCCATTCAAAGTTATCCACTGTGTAAAGGTTGAGTAAAACACATTAAAATCATAGTAATAAAAATAATTGTAATCTCGTCCTTACCTCACCTCCTAAACTGTAGCATTCCAGTGTAATGAAATGGCTCCTCACAAAAATGTGGGTTTATTTTTGACTTTACAAGTGAACAGATTTTCATTTGCTACCATTTTGTTTCTGGCTTGTATCTTCATTATTTTTATTTGACAGTGATTCAGTACTTTATCACTAATTCTGGAATCAAAGTGCCTGAGCTTACCATATCTGATCATCAGATGATTTAACCCTAGTAATCACCTTCAGTTATTGACCTTAAACGTCATTGAACAAAGGAGTTGTGCATTTACTAAACATTATGCATTTTCTGAATTAATCATAACAATGAAGTGCAGTGCAACTACACACCTTAATTTCAATAATATCCTTGGTCTTCATGAATGTGTGCTAGCCCCTTCTTTCACCTTGCACATTTCAATTTGAAAATGTTTACTCAATTATTTTAATAATGCTTCCACTGCAGAATTCAGACACCAGATTTAACTTTTGCTATTTTCTGAGACAAACTGCACTGAGGCTGGGGTAAGTGTTTCGAGTTTGGTAAAGTCTTTCCTCACTTCAGCAGTCAGGTGTACAGTTTTAGAAAATCAAACTAATTAAAACTAGAGCATTTTAAGTGCAATCTGGAATATGTGAAAAACAGATATTTCGGATCTTATCAGGCACTTTTTAAACATCCTGTCCTCAGTTTCTCCTAAGCCATCCATTACAAGTTAAATGCAACTCCTTTGTTTGGTGAAGTACAGCAATTACGTCCCCCCAAAATATAAATAAAACATGCCTTTTTGCATCAACAAAAGGCATAATCAATTTGGGATCTTCTACCTACATTATAATACAGTTTATACTTTTCCTTCATCATATTACATTCTTGTGTTATTAGGAGGCCAAACCCCCTCGAAGATAGCTATTGTCTTTAAAAAAAAATAGAAACAGCGGAAAAAAAAGTGCACATAGAATCAAGTTCTGAAGCAGAACTGTCATATTTTCCCAGGGATGAAATGAATATTTTAGATCCTTCATGGAAGCAGGCACAGAATGAACAAGCTTTCTTCTTCGGTTACAAAGTCAGTAGTGTTGACACCTCCGGTGATGAGTTTAAAAAGGGAAATAAACTGATTGTGGTTAGAGGAAGACTGCCCCCGACTGACCTTGGATGTGTTCTGTTATTCTGTAAGTTTTCTTTTTGTTGTTGTTGGTGGTGGTGTTTTAAATACCCTTGCCACAGTTTCTGAAACAATCCGGTGAGTTCTCCGGTCCAAAAGTCTCGCACCAGTTCTTCGACTGAGCATGCAAGCAGTTCAGCAGAGCCCTCTCCCACTCCACAATGTCAGTAAGAATTCATGTCACTGAGGTCACTTTGCAATGCGCAGGTGAAGAAAGCCGTCTTCACCCTCATACAGATTCTTCTGTGGTCAGCAGCATAGGATTAATGTACTCGAATCCTTCGAATTCCGACTGGTCTATTCTTTTAATGACATCTCTGTGGAGGAAAACAAAAATACATATTTCATTCATTTGACTTCAGTGTTTAGGATGATGGCTTTGCTTTTAAAGTCTTCAGATAGATGTGTGATCTATACAGAATGTCTAAATGCAAAAAATACTAATCAAACAGTTTCTACATTTAATCAATTTTAAATCTTATTGATTGTATATGCTAATGATGATCTGCATCTGGATGATTTAAAGTAATGATAATAATAATATTGCAGAAATGGGATATATACATATCTTATGTGCATTAACTGAATTTTATAATAAAATTTGACTTTTACAACTGCATTGCATATAGAAATCGTTTCCACAGCAGAGAAAACAAATTATCCTCATCAAGTCTTAAGTTGTGCTTTGCGTGTGTAGCAAGTTTCATATAAACAATTGTAATTATCTGCAAATTAGCCAACATATAAAAACTCATTTCAAGTGGCTGCATAAAAAAAGTGCCAGGGTAACTTCTCAGAAACAACAAACTGTTAATCATGTGCCATCATGCCGATCGCTAACTGCAGCTTCAGAGAACAGAAGACACATGCTGGGAAAATCTGGAAGGGAAGTGTCTGTTTGCTGAAAGCCATCACTGACTGATCTCAATTCAACAGCCTGTGCCAAGAACAACTGGCAGACAAGTGCCCTCCCTCCATTCCTCTCATCCACACACCTCCAGTGCTCACCCACGCACAGTAACTGTGCCTACTGGTTCATAGCGTGAGCAACAGAAGAGATGGATTATAATAATTATTATGATCACAAATGTATGTTAGAAAGGGCCTGCCATCGTAATTGCATCACCAAGTGCTGTACAAGCATGAAAAAGGCAATTCAATACAAACCCTTCTAAAAAATATATATATACACAAGCTGAAAATGTATACATCGACACTGCACTTGTACTGTATATATGGTTAGGAATAAAACAGTGCCCGTGTGCAAACACAAATAAGACCAGACAAAACTTTAGGCCACAGAAAAAATTATTACAAAGGAAGACCAAAAGAAACAAGAGGTTTTCCACAGCAACATAAAACTAATATTTTCAAGACTTTAAAAGGTTAACATACTGAATTCCTTTAGTTTTTTAGGTAGAAAACTCAAGTCATTTGGGAGCAGGGCTGCAGAAAACTGCAGTCTCTTTACTTGACAAGCTGGCCATAGGCCTAAGGAATAAGGACCACTAAGGAGAGCTAAGAGTTACAGCCTAGAAAACCTCTACCTGATCCCTCTGGTGACCTCCTCAGATGACTTCTCTGTGCTGTGGCTATGGAAGTCAACAGAATGCTGTTTCTGAGGTTTCTTTTTGCTTATCTGCCACTGCTTTGGTAATCGAACACTCACTGGCAAGACACTGCCATCTTGTTTTAATGTAATGTTTCTTGGCACAGTGGGAAAAGACATTTCTTTAACCAAGTCCTTGGAGAGAGAACCCCGCGCAGCTCTTAGAGGAATTATCAAAGCACTTCTTGCTGGCATATTAAAAAAAAAAGAGCTATGAGGCCACCACCTGTGTGGCAAGGCCAGGACACAAACATGTGATCACTCACATGTGAATGCAGTGCCATTTGCCATTTTAGTGAATCATGCTGCCTGAGAGCTCTCAAGACAAGTCATATTAAAGTTACTGCATGGTTTTAACAGCTGCCAGAATGTTTGCATAATGGCATCGCTAGTTCTGCCTCCTGCCCCAGGAGTACAGCAAAATCGTTCCCTACCCCTTGGTGTTGAAGCCCATGGCTGGAGACTGATGAAGTCATATGTCTCTTGCATTAACAAATTTCATCCTTTTTTCCCTTTCTTCTCCCAGCTATTGGGCAAGAACGCAGGGAATTGATTTTTATGCAGCAGACAGCCTGAATCTAACAAGCGAGGGGGTTTTTCTTTCTTCGCCCGCCAAATCTGTCAAACAAAAGGGGTTTACATCACTTGCCTCCCCCATTTCTCTGAAGTATAAGAAGCCAATCTTTTCAAGCGCTTTTGAAGTGCCTGGTGCAGTGTCTTTTGAAAGGCGGCTTGAAATCCCCAATCGAACTTAAAACCTGCCTCGTAGGAGAGCACAATAAAAGGGAGCCTGATATTGCATCATCTCATAAAAATATACCAGTTTTCCAAAACATAGGCATTAATTGTAAATCAGTTTAAACTGTAAGTTGAAAGAGCTTTAATACATGCAAATGAATATTAATTAGCATGACAAATGGGTGTAAATCTACAGTATACATTACAAACCCTGTAACAGAACATGGACAGCTCGGGCCAACACTACCAAGCTGATAGTGTCTCTGTCTGGCAGGGTGTTCTCTTGAGGGGCAAATTGCGAATCCTCAATTCTGATGGTTTCCACACTTGTTCCCTTAGGCCCACTGTGTTCTCATGCTTTTACTCCAGCTGAGTTGTTAGTATAATTGACCCACCCTCGATCATTAAGACCTTTGTAAAAAAAACAAATCATAATTCGCATCAGCTCTTTTCTTTGCCCTGGTTCAGGTAAGTGGAATATGAGCAGTTCCCTGGCAGAGCAAAGAGGAAAGCACGCTAACTGTGGGAATGTTTGATAGTCACCCCGCCTGGTTCTGGACAACATTAACTGGCCTCTCATTAAGAGCTGAAATAAGGGAGTGACCACTTCAGAAACGAGTTGGGTGTGAGACCAAACAGTTTCTTTTGTTGCATTTCTTGGCCACACCACACCTGCACTGAAGCGATTTTGAAAACAAAGACGACTTGAGTATAGAAACGGCTTAAGAAGGTCTAATCAGACATGCAGGTTGATGACAGGGGATCAACTAGTCTAACCCACTGATGACTCACTTGAGACAAAAAATCAGATGGTACTGCAGTCTTAAGGCCAGGGTGGAGAACCACTGTTCTAGCCAACAAGACTGTCATGCCAAGCGAGGAGTGCCCACCCCAGTTGGTGTGTGTTGTACCATTGATGTCACCAGGCACTTGGTTCCATCATGCACTCCTGAGACTATGCCTGGCTTTTGGTCTTCATCTTTCTGGACATAATCAAATCACAGAGAAATTCCCTCCCAGTCCGGTTAGTGCTTCAAAGGAAGTACACCATGGCAATGAAACTCTGCACTCTTGAGTTCCCTTGTTGCGGCACGCCTGCATTATCACATTTGGGTGAGTAATTCTTGAGATGCAGTTAACTAAAATTCAGTGTGACAAATATAAGCCATGGAATACTTGTTGGCGCCATACCTAAAACACCAGCCTATGCATTTCCTCAGGCCACATAATAAAACCCTGACTGTTTGAAGTCTTTCTCACCATAGTTACAGGCAACTGAATAGGGCAGTGCCAGTTCTGTAGCTGAGCCAAGTCTTTATAGTTTTTTTTTTCATTTAAAAACATTAAATCACAAAAAATTATAGACCTGAGCTCCCAAGCGAAAATGCGTCTGCATTGATTAAGTTGGACAGACTGTTTGCATTGAATAACAAAGTCATTGAAAGCGCTGAGGGCATTTTTCTCCTTCCCATACAGTTTCTTTGTATAGTGAAGCTCAAAAGACTAGCCGCAAACCTTTCTAAACAAAGTGAGGAATACATGATGAAAATCTTCAGAGACCGAGGAAAAAAAGTAAAGCCACAAACTAAGCTGAATTCGCTGAAAGAAATTACAAATGTCAATCTTCATTTTCCATTCACTTCTGCATTATTTAACAAGTGCAAACAAGGTAGGTGAATCTCACTTCAGAGTTTTGTGCAGGTTTTGAAAAGGTTTCTCGGAAGTGTAAGTACTTTGAAAAGAGGCCAAGTGGTATTGTATTCAGTGGCTCAAAGGAAATCGGGACCTCCCAGCTTGCTAGCTTACTTGTACACATCCCAGCTGTATCAGCAGTGCTCATCAGGAACTTTCATTCCCTTAAAATCCAAAGCTTTACTCCACACTGCCCATCGAAGAACAAGCCGTCTTCTTACTTCATCAACTTTAATTTGAATATGTAGGCCAAGATCCAACCCAAAAGAGCTACTGGCCTTTACAGGTTACAAACCTAGCATGTGACAGTGGATCTCCACTGACTAGTAGCATGAAGTCTCTAGGAAATGACAAGCTGCTGTTTAGTTCTAATATTTGTTAATGATAAGTGAATTACAATTTTACAAGTTTTAACATTCCTATGTGGCAGAAATGCTGCAGAGGTTAAAATACATTTAAAACTCCTGTTCTGTTCCTGTCCAGACATTAGCCTGCGTTCTATCAACGCCCCACACTTCAACCTACAGGCAGACTGTAGACAGCAGCCATTTTTCAGTTTTCACACTACTCAGCATGATCGCTTAACTTGACACTAGACATAACAAAGTTGACTTATTTTGAAGTCTTGTTTTATTCTTCCCTTTCTGCTTCACAGACTTCACACAGTTTCTTAAAATGCCAATGCTTTTCGGTTTGTCAAATGAGCAGACATTTGATTTAATTCAGATTTGGAATGGTGGTATGCACAGGGTCGAAAGTTCAAGCAGCCCACAGTCATAATAAAGTTAGCAAAAACCAACGTCATACATCTAAGCAGACGAGATGTTGTCATTACCATGCAATGTGCACAACTCTGAAAACCTGTTTATATTTTTTTTAATTAAAAAGGTAACCCTTTGGGAGCCCTCTAGACACACTGTCATAAATGTAACTTAGGCAAGATATTTTAATTAGTTTCTAGAGTACAACCTAATGCTGTATTTTACGACGGTGTAGTGTTGATCTACATTGATTTTTTCAACCCTCTGAGACCTACTCAGAGTAAAACAGAGAATAACCTTTTCTGCATCCAGAAATGAAGAAAGCAAAAACAGCTAGATGACATTATGTGGAAGCAGTTGAGGTCACTGTCATGAATACACTCAACCTGTTGGCACTTCATTAAAACATTTCCTAGGAGTGACCACTGGGACATTATGTGTGCACTGGTCTAGTAAAAGAAACGGGAGAACTGCTGTAGTAATGCAAAACATATACATTAACTCTCACAGAGAGGATTTATGCAATTGTTCTTATGTATTTGAAAGTTTGAGTGCTTTTCCCTACTACTTCTGCATTGCCATATGCCTTTGAACATGACCAGAGAGGCATACAACCTGCACGAGAGCAGTCACAGTAGGAATCTGCACAGGTTCTGTACCTGCCATACTGTACATCTCAAACTAATAATGGAGGCATTCTGTTTCCCCTGTAGGAATTTTATAATCAAGGTTTGCAAGAGGTTTAAAGGGCAAGGAGTTAACTTTATTGTTTCACACTGGGTATATAGTAAGTATTCAACACTTCAACAGCTGTGTTTAAGACTCTTACAGCTGATATTTTTAAAATGTATTTTGTTCCTCTTCTGTCTTTATTTTTTTTCTTCCATGAGAAAATCTAAAGTTCCTTCAAGGGGCCAAAAAAATAAAATGGTATTTTTAGTGTGGTTAGAGAGACGATGAGATTAAAACTCTACATTACTTGATCCTTTGATATAGACAATTAGTTACCACTATATAAACAATATTCTTGGGAATAGGTATTGTGTAGTTATTGTAACTGTGGAAAATTATTAAACAAAATAGTGCTGCTTTTAGTTTATTTGGAAATGAAATATTCAAAGATTGTTACAATAATCAATAAGCCCCACTGTTTCGCTGTGTTTAAGCTAATCCAAACATTTTTTTAAATCGGGTCAGTCATGTGTTTCTGGTTAAGCTGAACTTTTGAATATACAAACTACACTTTAAAACCTGAAATCTATACGCACTTCAGCTTTCATTCACTTCTAAGGCTATAGTTACTCAGACGTCTGCCCACACAATGCTCCTATAAAAATATCGTAGGAATTTGTTCATAATTGATACTTAGTGAAATATGATAAGTTATGGAATGAGTTCAGTACCATCTTTTAACATTGACCTCTACAAGTATTACCAATATTAGTTTAAACTGCATGACAAACTCTGTGAAAATGTTTTATCCTGACAGAAAACCAGGGCGTAAATTAATCATATCACATGTGAACTCTTGGCAGAACCAAACTTACAGGTAAAAAAAATCAGCACTTTTCACTCTGAAATAAAAAGAACAGTTGACGTCCGGAAGGTATTTCCATGTCATTTTACAGCTACTGTATTATTAGGATTATTTGAGGACCAGCAAAATTTATATCTAAGGCAACAACAAGGAAAGTGTGTCGACTGGATAAAAATCTCAAGCAGTAATATATGTAGATCAATGTAAAACACTAGACAGTTATCAAACAACTTTGAGAGAGATTGAAGTTAATGGGGAAAGATGTATGCTGCACAAACCATGGTAAATCAAGGGGAAAAAATGTAAAAAATTAATAAATTATCAGAATAGAAGTGTTACAGTTCATTTCGATAACATTGTTAATTCAATTATTCCAACCAGGGTTATAGTGTTCATTAACAGAATTTAATTGTGCTCCCATGCATGTTTTCTGTATTATCTAAGAGTATTAAACACCAGACCTGAAGAAATATACAGATAATAAGCCACATTTGAATTTCCTACATAATAAATTATGAACAGTACGTAATGCTATATTGCACCTTCTATGAGCACATTATGTGAAAGAGACACACATCTATACCAGGGCTTTATCAAATCTTTTATTCTTTTAATCTATTTACTTTTATTAGGGAAACTTATCGGCAAAGGGTCTCTTTCAGTGAAATTCAGGCCTGCTTCAGCTCAACCTTCCTCCATTTAAAACTGAGGCGATGTGCATAAATTCCAGGAAAACTACATCTCATTTAATTCCCAATAACTTGAAACCGTAGCCTCAAATTATGTCCTCCTATGAGAAATCTGGGGGTCTTGTTTGATCCCGAGTTCTGTTTTGATGCACAAATAAAAGCCACCTGTAAAGTCTCTTACTTTCACCTCAGAAACACTGCCCACATTTGGTCTTTTCTTGATTACACTTCTGCAGAACACCTGCTTCATCACATCTCAGCTGGGTACTGTAACTGCCTTTACAGTGGTCTTCCTACCCACCTCCTAAACAAACGTCACCCATTCCAAAACTCATCTGCTTGACATCTAACATGCTCAAAGCTCCCTGACCACATCACCCCAATTCTGACAGGTCTTCACTGGTTCCTCATTATCCAGCACATTCAGTTCAAAATGTTACTCTTTTAAAGGCCTACACATTAAATCCCTAAAATACTTATCATTTCTCATCACTCCCTATGTACCAAGCAGGCTTTACGTTCTGCTCAGGCACCTCTTTTAGTACCTTCTTATATGTACAATTGTCTCGGGACGCATGCTTTCAGCCTACTTGTTCCACGACCCTGGAATCTCTTACAGTTTGTAAATGTGGACTAAACACTTAACCTATTTAGTCAGGCTTTTATTTAGTCTGTGCCTTTTCTCTTTTCTCCACTTTTTCTATTTTTGTCTTTATTTCTGTTCAATGCTCTGTTTTTGTTTTGAATTAACCTGTCTAGTGCCCCAAGCACTGCTGGTGTACAGTATATGCACACCACAATAAATCCTTGTAAGGTAGGTGCCCTCTTCAAACAACTTAAAAAATGTGGAGGCATGAAATGTGTTTTATATACAAACTGAACCATGAGGCTAAAGTCTGCATAGTCACAGCACACCACAGATGTCACTGACACCAGAGGATATATACAATATATAATGTACCCAAATGACATCAAACTCAGACAATATAATGGTCTTCATTGGGTCTCATCGGTGTCCATGGTCCCTGGTGATATACTCACCAAATTTCATTGGTCTACAGTGCAGATACAGCTGTCTGAGTAGGCCAACTAATTTAGAATTACCCTCTGCAACCAAAATAGTATATTTAAAATTATTCAGAATGTGGCAGCTTAAACTGACAATGTCCATGCTAAAGCTTTTGTGCAAAGAAGCAGAGCAATCACTCATGATATGCTGTCACTCTTCACTTCAGATGAATGATTTTAAAACAGTAAGAATGTACTCACTCGTCATCCGGAGTTAGCTGCACTGGTTCATTGGTAAACTGAGTGTCGAAGTTATCTAAACCATAGTCATCCGTAATCTGGGGCTTGAAAGGGGGCGTCATCTGCTTCTTCTCCAGCTAAAAATGGGAAGTGTGACAGAACAACAAAAAACAAGCCTGTAATGGTGGTTTCATAATGTAGGCAGTTGTAGCACCTCAAAAAAGCAGTGGGACAAAGTATAAAAATGAAGATAGCTCATAGCTATCTTGTCATAGCTCTGGACTCTGGAACATCAGGGGTTCCAACTCCTTGTTTAATTTGTGCAAGGTAATTTAACCAGAGTGCTTTACCAAACCTATCTGTATAAATGGGTAGCACATATTGTGTAGAATATACAGTAGGTCATTTTAGGTCCTTGAAATAAAATCAACAGACAAATTAATAATTTCTCCGATTTGTACTCTGTTTTGTATGGTTTCAATTTTTGGTGATGTTGCTTAAATTTGTTTAAAAGCCTGACTTTTCCTTAAAGCAATCATTGGGGAAATAGAATATATCAGTCTTGGGCATGTTTCACCATGCCACAAAATTGTTCTGTTAGGTTCTATTAAGTAACAAGTACAATAATCTGAAGCACCACTGAAACACCCAAAGGATGTTAATGGAAAATCATGCAAAGACCAATAAACTAGAGCAATTTCAAATTACACTCTTTGTGCATACTGTAAGACTGAATAAAAAAAAAACTTTTTTTTTTACTGAAGTGGGACAGCAATGTGGAGCAGGTGTGGGATCTATCTAAGTATTACCAGAAGATTGTGGGTTAAAATCCAAAGCAGTTTGTTCAGATTGCTCAAGTAAAACAAAAACTTTATTAATGGGTATTTAGCAAGTCATCATTGTAAATGCGAATGTATTATCAATTTATCTGGTTTAATATTTTAAAAATTGCCCACAAGTGGGTTCCTCGATGCTCTTTTTCCATGGATTATTGGGACAGTATTCCCTCACTGCAACATATTAGTATAGAATCCACCACATTTTGCTTTAGATGCCAGATGGACATTCACTGGCTAACCCATCAGGAATCCCCAGTCCCATGAACAAACCCTCTATGCACTCTGCTGGCCCGAGGAGCACGAGGAGCTACAGCAATGCCCAGTTCCCAATCCTGCTGAAAATGTCAGGAGCCAGAGTATTTAAATTTCACAACGAATTACCTGGCTGGAAACCCTACAAGAAGAATGGGATAGGGCAGGGCCGAGATATTTCAAAGCCTTGCAGAAGACAGGCTGGGTCTCGTTTAAGCTGTGTAAATACTTGGTACTCATAAAAATAAAAGTGGGATAATTTGACCAGTGGGTGAACATTTCGAACTTCATTTCAAATTGCATGTTGGAGTAAAAGGTTTGCAAATGCCATTGAATATTCTATCATTCCATTGCACTGGGAGCTTTTAATACAGCACAGAGTTTGGAGAATTCAGGCACTGCAAAACTTAGCAAGAGAAAAACCTGTTTTGCACCCCGGGCCATGAATATCGTGACATTCTCACTCCAGCAGCAAAAACAAACCTGAAGCTGATGGTGGAAAAAAAGACAGAGGTGGTAGTGGGGGGTGGCGGGATCTTGTGTACTGAAAAACAGGCAACTAATAACATTTCATCACTTGCGTCACAGGCAGGGGCAAAAGTAGAAAGGGAGAAAAAAAAAACAAAGTAGATGAAGTGGTTTTTGCGGGAAATGTAGCTGGTAAATGGATGAAGTGGCTCACAGTGTAGGAACACTCATTCGTACACGTCAACAATCAATGGGGAGAGAGAGCCATTATGGGCTCATAGGTACTTAAGTACTCGGTTGGAAATGTACAGCAAGGGTTACGTGGGGTTTGTTTTGATAGTTGTAGTTTTCCTTCATTTGTGTGCTTTTTCTTCTGGAGACAAGAATGCCCCCGTTCATAAGAAAGAGCAAAACAAAAAGTAAGCAGGAGAGCTCTCCCTTCTCACTTGTTTAACATCATCGGTAACCTGCTTCCTTCTTGTTTCGGTGTTCCTTTCTCTCCGCAACTGCATAAAGGAGGCACATGTTAAATACGCCAGGCCGATTTCCCACACTAGCCCTGAGCAGATTTGACATTTCAAATCTTTTCCTTTCCCTCAGGGAATATTACTTGTAAAATGAAAGCAGAGAGGGCTGGCTCAGTGGCTAGCCCTGCTGCCTCACAGCGGTGGGGCCCAGGGTTCTGTTCCTGACCTGGGGTGCTGTCTGTATGGAGTTTGTATGTTCTGCCTGAATTTGCATGGGTTTCCTCCAGGTGTTCCAGTTTCCTCCTCTAGTCCAAAGACATACAGGTAGGATAACTGGCATGTGGGAAAATTGGCCCTAGGTGTGAGTCTGAGTCTGTGTTTGTGTCTGTGATGAATTGGCATCCTGCCCAGGGTGTATCTCGATTTGGTCCCTTTACTTTCTAGGATAGGAATTGCTGGGATTAGAAAATGGATGGATGGAAAACAAAGAGGTGATGTCCACATTGAGTATGTTCTATTTTAGTTATATACAGACCATGTTCAAATGAACTGCTATGCTAAAAAGACCTTTACACTGAAGTCTGATGCTATTAGAACACCAGTTCTTTTTCTGCACTATTTTATATAAGGCTGGTCAGAAAAATACACCCCGTCCCCTGTCATAGTAACAAAAAACTAAATTGTGAGCCATGACTTACAGACTACACTAGGTTTTCACCAGACCCCTGAAAACGGGATTCAACATCAGCAAAATCCATCTTTTTTATTTTTCTCTTTTCCAAGATACATTTTTTTAATATAATGAGCCCTAGGCTAAGACAATAGTTTAAGAGAGCAATGCTGTCCTTGTGCGATTTATCACTTCCATTTCCCTGTGTGCTTAATTTATCAAGCTTGTGAGAAAGTAGAAAATATGGTTGTTATTCTAAGTTATAAGTTGAGGGAGTTCTGCCTGTTTTGTAACCCTAAAGCGGGTGGGATTGGTGTAGATTTTTCTTCATTGGCTAGCAAAACTCTCCAAGGCTTGTGAAGCATTAGTCACAGTCTGAAGCAATTAGACCCTAGACATTTTCACTCAGTTACTGCTTCCCTTTAACCTCTATGCAAGGAGCATATGATATATACTCTTTCTAACTGACTTCATACTGACTTTATAAAAGCACTGCCCATCCATGATCTTCACATTTATGTCTATTCAGAAAACACACTTCTGTTCAAACATACAATATAAAGACTTACTCTTTACTTGAATGAGACTAAATCACACAGTCATAATGCCTTCATGAACACTACACAGCAGACACTTCTTTGCCCTAAGGGTTGCAGGAGTATGGAACAAGGTATCCGGCCATATTGTGGAAGCCAGTGTTCTGGGTTCTTTCCAGAAATGGCTGGATAAGCTCCTCGATTCAATTAACCTCTAACCACCAAATGAGCAAGACATGCTGAATGACTTCTTAACTGTTCTTATACATTTATGTAATACACCACCATAAAGTTTACCATTAAAGAGTTCTGTCCTTTTTATTTGAATTTCCTTATGAAAGGGAGTGCCATAACTATGGTTAATTGATTTTTTCCAGACAAAAAAGTATGCAGTGTTTAAGAAGACTTATTTTACGGCAATGTTTTTGGTCTCGTTCAAGTAAGGCAATACTGTATATGGAGCAATATAAAAAAATCTCTTAATAATTACTCTTAAATAATAATGTACGTAAGTAAATAAAGACACTAACCAGTCCAAACACACTTCTTATTCATTACCACAGAGTAAATACAAAGCTCAGCAAGTAAGGGTCTTTGAAAATTAATGTTCAGCATTTTGGAATTAAAGGAGTTAAAACACAGGATGTACTGTACCTACAGATCACTAGTTTTTGTAAACATCTCTAACATCTTCATGAAACTAAGATATTTGTTTACTACACTTACTTTACAAATGGCAAATTAGCTTCAGTGCAATGTCAGCACTTAGCTCTAATATAAAATTCAATGACTAAAAGTAAACACCTCTCTCATTCAATCTAGCTTCATTTCATTTAGGTATTTGAGTGACATGTACGCAAAGATTTCCGAGTGCTTGCCCTTTAACAGCGCAGGTTGAATCAGCTACCTTTTTTGGTTTTGTGTGTGTAAAAAAAGAGGTTTATACCAGGCATCACCCTTTTCCCCTCCCTGCTGTAGACAGTTTTGACACTGTGTCTAGGCAAGGGAACTGCACAATTTAATGATCTGCAGAGAAGTGGCTAGTTGCTTTTCGTCGCTTTCCTATGCAAAAGCAGACAAGTGCCTGGGGGCCAATGTAGGTTTAAAGAAAAAAGGCTGAGCACAGCGCAAGGTTGTTAAATTACCCTGGGCCTTGTGGGTTTTCAGCAATTTGGAAGGAGCCAGGTCTAGCAACTGAGATGACGCACTTTGCCACTGCAGCTTCACGACACTTGCCAAAATAGCATGATTACGCTCGTTGACAGAGCTGGAGACCAATTAGAATAAATCCAGTCGCACAAAAACTGACGCAAACTGTAAAGGTAACAGTATTTCCAAACGGCTGAAAAATGACATCACACCAGAGGTCTGTAAAATAAGACAGTGATAACTGGAGTGAGACAGAGGCAACACCACTGCAGGGTACACAAAACCAGGCTCAAACACCACCTTCTGCTCTCCTCAGACGACTGACCACAGAAATTAATACCTCAGCCTATGATTCAATATTGAATCCTGAACCATCCCGACTAAGGTGGCGATTAGTCTTCCCCAATCTGTGGGAGCACTAAGACCAAATCATCCCACAACAGGTTCCCCTTTAAGGCCAGCTGTACAATGCTGTGTTAGCAAAGATGAGCCCAGACACTTGAAGATGTCCTTTTTTCTAAGTTTGAGTGTGGTTATAACCTTTTCTGTGTTTTAAACCAGCAGGTGATCATGTGACTCAGGCAGTTACAGGAGGTTTCTAATATCAAATGACAGATGCTTTTAATTTCATTACAGAAAGCTGTGTAGGTACAGTAGTGCCTGAGAGAGTGAATACAGCTTCAGATTTGTTTCCTTCCCCAGGAGCACCTACACTGACAGTCCTAATGAACTAGACTATAGCTTGATCACCAACTG